ATGTTCAGGTGAATTTAGTTATTTTGGAAATTGGGGTTTGGTTTGGTTGATGTTATCTAGTCTCTTTTGTGTGTATTTGGTTGATTCATTTATTGTTGTTTTTCAAATTGTCTGAAATAAATTCCTATTCATTCATTCATGCATTCCTGTGACTTTTGGACCGTGATGTGGCAGGATAAGGGATTGCAATCATCCACTGTCAGGTGCTCATGCAGGAGAAAATAATTATGCTAGTCAGTAAGTGGATGCAATCTGCTGGGGTGTTTTACTGCACATGACTTGAGAACTATGATCAATTTAAAATAACGTGGAATCTGTGTGTGGGCCGAGAAGCCAGCCTTCATCATGCTCTTTCTGGTTTGTTTAAAGAGGAGGACCTTAATAAGCTAAGCCTCTCTTTTAAACAGGTGACCAAATGTGTATGATAAACTACAATTTTGATGAGTTACTCCTCAAACTGATTAAGTTTAAGTCATGTATTTTATGTGTGTATGTTTAGGTTAATAGAAACTGACACAATGAGATTTGCTTTCCATAAAAAAATAAAAGCTTTGATTTTAATACCCAGTTTAATTTCCAACAGGTAAATATTACAAAACACTTGCCCAAAGTTGTTAAATGTTTAATTAGATAAAGGATATCACAAAAAAAAGCATATGTAGAGCTTTGCTTATAATATTCCTACATCCCATTGCTGATATTCTATATCAGTGATTCCCACCCAGGGGTATGCACACCCATAGTGGAGCACCAGTATATTGCAAAGGGTGTATGAAAATATTTCATTTCTTAGGTAGTAAAATAAAATGGGGCTGGGATCTGTTTTCCTTTGTGAGGAACCACATAAAAATAAAACAAGCTCTTTTTTTCCAACCAAAAAGTAAGATTTTTTTTTTTTTTTTTCATCTTCAGCTTTGACACACATTTAAACCAGGCAGAGGAACAGCCTGGTATCAGCTGTTTTTCACACTGAGCTATCAGAGCTCATCAAAGCAGCTCAGGTGTTTTGATGAAAACAAAGCAAAACTAATAAAGTCAGTCTGACTTTAATTTTGTTCCCATAACGTCAAGTTTAAATCTGATTATAGGGCAGTTACTCAAAGGAACTCCAGTTTTATAATATGAGTTTATTTTGTATTTATTTCAATTTCTTACTAACTTCTAGGCAACATATTAATGTTTTCTTTTTTGAGATGGAAAGAATAAAATTTTAAAAATAAAACGCTCAAATTAAAAGATTAAGTAAAGTTGTCTTTCAGTTATTGTCCTTTCCACTTTTGGACAATCATTAATACTTTTGATTACTCATGGTAAGATAAAATGCCCAAAGGGATACACAATTCTACAGCATATGATCAAATAAAGCAATTAAAAGTATCTAACTTTTCTTTTTTTTTAACTATTATTAGTTACTTTCATAGTGAAATAAATTTTCCACTCATGTCAGGCCAACAAGCTACAAACAGCAGAGGACTCCATTGTTATTTCTGACTTGTAGAAGCCCTCGGGTTATTTTTCCTCTGTCTTGAAACAAATCAATGAAGTACAACTCACTTTGAACAATTGCACATTTACTGAAATCAGATGTGGGCTGAGGAGCCAGCCGTCATCACACTCATTCTTGTTTGTTGACAGAGCAGGACTTTGATAAACAAGCTTGCTCTTTTGAACAGGTGCCCAAGCATGAGTTCAGTTTCTAAAAGGCATTTCAGAAAAACGCACTGATTAGAGGATGTTTGTTATTATCCATGCAAGCATTTGGATTCTGCAGATCATTCCCAAAGTAACTCAATGACTTTGCTATTAAACATATACCATTTTTTAACCCCAAATGCAGCAAACAAATAGAGGTGGGTAATTTAAAAACTTAAATATAATTATTTAATCAATTTATTTGCTCTAGCCATTAAAATGTAACTTTATACTGAGGTCAGCGTTGAACAGTTTTATTTAGTCAACGTTGCCCTCAAGTGGTTTTTTTGCAAGTTGCATGAAATTTCCATTTAATTTCAAAAATAAACATAACATAAAACCTAGCTTTTGGTCCTATCGAAAAGGTTTTGATCACATCATTCTTGATAAATGTAAAGTTTTCATTCTTAACTGAGGTATTACCAGGCACTGAGTGTGTTATCACTGGCAGCTCTGCAACATGCAGTCGAGCCAGTTCACAAACTCGCCTTATCCTCTCTATCAACATATGGGAGTGCTTTAAGGCTCCTATCTGCTAGCAGCAAATGGTCTTAAATCAGTCATTTTAATATCAAAGCACTTAACACTAGAATGATGATTACTTGCAGGTGGAAAGCCATGCTGCTTGTCAAGACTGCATTTGAAGAAAATGACTGAGCTCTTATCCGACACGTACAGTACTGCCAGTGTTCAATACGCAAGATCACATTACAGAAGATTACTTTGGAGTTTCAGCAATTTTCCCAAATTACACTGGCCTTTGGTCTCTGCTAAACTTGATTGACTTGAATGGTTTTCATTAGTAGCAGAGTGTTTGCTGTTGATGCTGGTACATAAGAGGAGAGGCATTTTTTTTGGGAGGGGGGTGAGTGGGTGCAGCTGCTGGGACACTGAAAGTGGACAGATATGCAAATCCTTTTTCTTGGAAATGCTTCATCATGTTTTAAAGGGAAACCAGACCATGCTTTGATTTGTGACGCTGATCTGTTTTTCAAAGGCCTGAAATGTTCCCACAACATTTAACCTATGTCCTCTCGTTTATTATGATTTTAAAATTCAACCTCTGAAGTTAATAAGTCCAACCAGGCTCTCACAATGTAAGACACAAACTGAAAATATCAGATTTTCTAATGGCTCTAGTTGGCATTGTCAATAAAACAAGCGTCTTATGGATTAGTTTGTCATGTTTGAACTTGAGTCCACCCTTCTGCTGTCTCTTCTTATCCACACACTGAAACTTGAGAAATGGAAATCAGTTAGATGTCACAGTAAGCCTGAACACAAAATGACAAGAAAATAGCCATGAATAACACTGACCACCCTTGTTACCCTCTTAGAAAAATACTTTAAAAATGGATCTAAAATGAAGAGCAGTCCACGCACAATGTTTATCAAAGCCAGAGGTCCTCCTTGCATTCTCTGCAGCTATTTGGCTTTAACTGCTGCCTACAAGCTGAAATCCAAGAAGAGTATCTGTAAGGAATTAAGGCATTGTGTTCTATCCTTCTACAGATTGCGAGGCTACTCTTTCCAAACCCAGTGCATACAATACTCATTAATATCCCAAACCTGATTGTTCTCTGTCATTCTGTATTAATTTGATCATGGTAACAGATACGCAGCTGATGTTGGATTAAATTACTGTGTTAATAGGGATCTCCAGATGTTTCTCTGCATTTTAAGACAGATGTAATGGGTTCTCAGCACCATCTTGAGGAGGCTATGTGATACAGCAAGAAACTCACAAGCCAAACTTGTTGCAGGATTCCGCTTTAGCTGAGGTTCAGTCTTTAGTCAAACACATTTGAAATGATAGATTGGTGCCAAAACAGACAAATTAAGTCAAGGAAAAGTTTAAGTATTGTAAAATATATTGGGCTTTTTTAATGTTTTTTAAGACATATATATCTATAGCTATATATCTACAGATATATAGATAAATACACATATATGAATATACACATACATATGTATGTATACATACATACATATACACATGTACTTAAACACATGTACATATATACATATACATTGTCAATAACATGTATCATTGTGTTTATATATTTTACATCTATATATATATATATATATATATATATATATATATATA